TTTTCAACCCCAAAGGACCCAGTCTTGAATCTCTACCACCAGCCCAGACTTGAGTCTGTCCGGAGGGAGACAAAGAAGAGACTCTTTCCTTCAGAACGTACTGAGCCATGCAGTTCTGCTGCCTGTCATTGTGCCAACAAAAACTTGAGACAGGTGTAGGAGAACAGACGTACCTCAAGACCATGGTGTCAAGTAAAGTAAATCAGACACACAGCATATGAGAAATCCAAAGTGTAAATAAAGAGCAAAATAAAGGATAGATGATAAGAAAATCTTTTTTAAAAATAAAGGGGAACAAGAAATGGAGGGAGAGGAAGGAGAAAGCGACTTTAAAAAGAATCTAAGAAAAATGGAAATAGAGTTCTTTCAAATGGGAGGAACAAGATGTGGAGGGAGCAGGGAGGGGTGGGAGGGAAGGTAACTAAAATGTGTTATGTCCACGTTCCAACTCCCCATGACAAATGCAATCACTGTGTACTGCAAACATGGCTGCTTTTACAAGGCGGGCAAGGAGATTCTGCAAGCTGGCCCCATCCTTCACTTCTTCTGCTCCACTTTACAGCAGTGGCATTAGGTCCTCCCCACCTATCACCCTGTCAATCTTTCTGAACTAAAACCATGGCCGTGCAAGTTGAGAGGGACCCTGGACATCAAGGCCACCGTGGCGTGTTTCACATGGCTCGGACCGCTGAAATGCCTGGCCCCCATGATCACGGCTTCACTGTCAGGGCCTGCGGTCACCACCCGACTCAGGCCTCTGGGTCGGGTTCGCATCCCCTTCGCCCTGGAACTTCTCATGCTGGCTGAAGTAAAATCACTGAAGAAAAATGCCTGTGACTCAGCAGTATGCCCTGAAATTACTTAAATTGTTTAAATTTCTTACTATACATGATAAAAATTAAACACATTAAATATGATTATGCAGTCTGAGATGATTTTAATAGTACAAACTATAAATATGAACAAAATTAAAAATTATACTACATATTTAAATTATATAGGTTCTCTCTTTTAATTCAGGCAATGAGCCTCTAGTAACTTATTTTAAAATTTTTAATTTCTGAGACCATGGGATGATCATGATTATGAATCACAGGAAAGCTACAAAGAGAAAATTAGTTTTTAAATAATGGTCTCCAGGAGGGGAGGAGTGGGTGAAGGGAGGGCAGGGACAAGGGGAAAAAATGAGAACCAAGACCTGTCATGTAGAGGTACAAGATCTCAACAATGAATACAACTGTACTGTATCCCTAAAATGTACCAATAAACTCAATGAAAGCTGAAAAAAATAATAATGGTCTCCTTTTGAAACGATGAAAGACTGGAAAGAAAAAGGGAGGAAGAAAGTGCTTCCTCATTTCGAGGTCTAACAGCCTTGGGAGATTTCACAATAGGACCGGCAGCCAGGGCAAGCCCACCGTGTGCACAGCTCTGGGTTCAAATTTATGTATTTAGTGACAAATTCCAGAAAGTTAAATGTATTGTCAATTCAAACAAAAATACAGAAATATTCCCACTTGTGTGTGTTTTTAGAATACAAGACATTAAGAATGAAATAGTTAAATGTTAGGCTAGGAATTGTTAATAATTCACAGTCAAGATGATGTCTATGCTGCTACCTGACAGAAATCCACCATTAGCTAAGGCTTCATCAAGAAACTACTCTTTTTACCTAAAGAAATAGAATTTCATTTTTATTTTGGTCTCTGTTAATTACCTTTAAAAAGAAATTATTTTAAACTATGGATAGAATATCTGAAAGGATTCATACCAACACGTTAATAGTGTACCAATAACAATAATTTTTTAAGACTGGGGATGTAGCTCAGTACAAAGGCCCTAGCTTCAATCCCTAGTACCAGAGGGGGGAAAAAAAGCAATGATTTGTCAGTATTTATCCATTTTTATCTGTAGCAGAAAGTATGTATGAGCTTCCAGTTGAATTTACTTTGTTTTACAGTAATGACCTGTTCTTTGTTTCGTTTGTTTGTTTTTCTTTGCTTCTTTATATGGTCCTGGTGACTGAACCCAGCCAAGGCCTTTTGCCTGCTAGGCAAGCACTCAGCCAGGGCCAGAGCTGTCCTAGTTTACTGACAACTGTCCACCACCTCCCTCTGCACTCTCGCTCTTGGTGCATATCGAGCCACTCTGGACTACCAAGTGGCCTCTAGCATTGGGAAGAACGGTGCTCAAAGGTCTGGATGCCGGGCACAAGGATCTCCCAGCTCTGAAACCCTGGCCAGACCTTTCACCGGAAGTGAGTGATGAGCTTGCAACACAGCTCCTCCCTGTGGCTGAGCAGCAGCCTCTCCGGCCACATCTCACATCAGCTCGCAGCACAGGAGCCTGCATTTGGTGTCACCTAATGATGTGCTCCGATGTTCACTGTAGGTCTAGAATTTGATTCTTTATTCAAACTGTAGATATGTTTGGTTATGCCTGAAACGCTTAAATAAGCATTTAATACAAATAGTTTGTGAATTGTACATTTTTATATACACATTTTAAGAAAAATGTATCGATGTGTCATCAAAATACTTGAAAAGAATTTGTACCAGGAGCAAAACATGTTATTCCAACACAGCTACCGTTTCTGTCTTCCATTGTGACCAGATGACCTTACAAGAGGGTGACAAAAGGTGACAACTAGCAGCATATGTACATAGTGGTAAAGTTTTTTGTACAGAGCCAGACAGGAAATATTTTAGGATTTGCAAGCCATGCAGCCTCTGATGCAGCTTCTCCACCTCCTGTTGCTAGATAGAAGCAGCCAGTCCACGGGGAAGGACCACTGCCTCACTCCAATAAAACTATCTGAGCACTGAGAGTTAAGTTTTACTTCATTTTAATGGGTCACAAAACTTTCTTTTTCCCCCAGGATTTAAAAATGCAAAACCCAGTCTTGGCTTGTGAGGGAGGTGGATAAGCACAGGCCACGCTGTAGCCCGTTTGAAGCCCATCTCCCACTGCGGCCTCTGCTGTGCTCTGCAGCCGCGTCTTCAGCCTTGTCCTACGCATCCTTTGTGAACTTCCCCGCAGCAGCTCGAACCGAAGCCATCTAAATCCTAACTCAGAACATACGTCTCGCCCAGACCGTCTGTCTGCTTGTCTCCGCTCCACTATTTCTGTTCATGGTGCACCAGCTCCCAGTCCTCCAGATCTGAAATTCAGAACTCACTGTGGACTAGTCAGTACCCTTAACAAGCTCCATCCTGTTTCAAATCTGTCTTCACTTGCAGGCCTGCCCTCAGCATCTGAGTTCTGCCCTTCCTTCTCCACGCCACAGTGCTGCTGTGGTCCTGTGATCAGTTTCCCTTCCCCAGTGTCCCACACCGCTGCTACCTAATCCCACTGCCATTCTGGTACTGTGCTGGGCTCAGCACTCCAAAGTGCCGCTCTCTTTATGTCACTGTGCTGTTTCCAAACTTCGTGGATCTCTACTGCTTATCAGACACAACATAAACCCTTCCAACTGGCACCCGAAGGCATCCGAAACAGCTCCAACAACAAGAACAATATTTTTAGCGATTGTGAGAGCTATGGAAATAAGGCTACAGAAGACTTTGATAGGCTTTATTGTGGTAATATTTCTGCATACTACGTCAAAGCTTATCAAGTTGTCACTTAAAACATATGCAGCTTATTGTGTTAATTATGCCTCAATAAAATATATATATAAATTTGAAGCTGTCCATCCTTATTTTAATTAAAATAATAAAGTGAATCCCTATGCGGTCAATATCTAGGTTTAGAAAAAAATTACAAAAATAATGTAAAACTCTGCAATAGTACTATAAAGGAAATATGGAAAATAGTCTAGAATGAATAATCTTGAGTGACTAGGGAAATTAGGGAAGCCTTTCCTGAAAAAGTAGTGCCTAATCTGAAACCAATAACTAATAATGTTTTAAATCAACACTTACATAGTACCACACTATACATGTTTTATATGTTGTATTAGTTACTTTGTTGTGGCTGGGACAACTTCAAGGAAGGGAAGTTTATTTTGGATCTCAGTGTCAAAGGGTTCAGCTCATGATTGGTTTAGCTCCAAGGCAGAAACAGCTTGGAAGCTGGGTGTGGTAGAATCCAAAGATGCTCAACCAATGGCAGCGAGGAAGCAGATCAGGTGGGGAGGAGCTGGGGTTAATAATTTAGCCTCCACGTCACACCTGCAGTAACTCATCTCTCCTGACCAGGCCTGGCCTCCTCAAAGCACATTTAACTATGAATTCGCCGATGAATTAATCCCCTGTTCAGTAAAGCACTCCCCTGATCCAGTGACCTTCCGAAAGTCCCACCTCTGAACACTTGAGACTTGGGGGTGCACACATCAGATCTAAACCATAACACACCTATTAACCCATTTAATGCTCAAAAGACTACCTCAGGTCGATTCTCTTATTATCCACATTAACGATACCATTACTCATGAAATGGGACTTGGGCCATGACTGGCTCCCACATTTCCCTTTTTATTATATTTAGAGCAGGGACTTTCCCAGCTCAGAAGAAAGGCTGTGCCTGTCTTAGGTGAGAAATGTCCAGAGAAATCCCTTACCTGTCATCAAGCCATGAGAAGTTTAATACTCATGCTCTGTCTTAGGTTGGATATTTCTCCACAATTCTCTTACCCATCTTTGACTACCAGCCTCTGCAGAGGTTATACCATGGGTTGTGAAGGCTTGACATGTAGCTTTCTCTACCTCTATCAACATTTGTAACCCTTGATCCTCATATCAGGGACTCATTAATTTTTACAGACATCATTACCAAGGGAGGTTGTCTCAAAACTATCACAGAATGAAAGGAAGTCATCATTTCTGAAAATATACAATTGATCAATTTACAATTAAAACAGCTGTTGTCATATTCATTATCAGTCTCATTTACAATCTCTATACTTTTTACTAATAACATATAAGGAGCATTAACACAAGACATTATATTAGAGGCCCCTATGCCAACAATATTGAAACTAAGGCTAGTAACTTTGACATCTGACTATAAGCATATTTCTCCCAATGCAGCAGCAAGTTTTCAAATGTTGGTTTGAGGAAAACTTAAATCTTCCCACCAAAGTCCAGCAGAAAGGCTAAGACTAGCAGATGAACTCTTTTATGTAGTGTTGGTTAGTGATCAATCGAGAAATGTCCTTTTTTGTCCCAGAGAAACTTCTCAATGTAGCAGTCTCATTTTCTTTATAACATAGAAACATTACTTTATAAATGACCGAGCATATTTGTATCATTCACCAGTACCGGCACTTCACATGAGACAGGATGTGCAAGGAGAGGATCTGCCATATAAGTCCAATGTTCTTGAGGATTGGCATCACATCTTGCAGGAAGTGACATCAGCAGGAGTATGCACATGATGAATCAGCCTTTCCAGTAGCCATCGAGCTCCATCATGTTCCTGTGAGAAAACACAAACATGCCCTCAGCCCCATATTAAAACGGGGTCAGGTCCATACCATTGGCTAGTTAAGGGATCTCTCCATTTTACCAAAGCATATGGAGAACCTTATGGATGCCAAAATCTTTCTGCTGCTGAATGGCCATGCTTCTCAATTTGTAAAAAAATTTAAAATATAGGTAGCATGATTTAAATTCTGGGTAAATACTGACATTTAGAAATGGAAAGAAAGGAGCTAAAGGTGTAGGGAAGGTGGGATGGGTAGGGGAAGAGTAAAAAGGGAAAAGAAAAAAATGTGAGAGAATGAAAAGATGAAAATAAAGCATTTGTAGATGGTGAGGGGAGGAGGGGATGAAGGGAGGGCAGAGGTAAGGGGAAAAAATGAGATTCAAGACTTGTCATGTAGAGGTACAAGATCCCAACAATGAATGTAACTGTACTGTATCCCTAAAATGTACCAATAAACTCAATTAAAGCTGAAAAAAATAAATAAATAAATTCTGGGTAAAGAGGGGTACAATTCCCCCTTTTTTATTTTTTGTAGTTACACCTTTAATAGTGGGGAACAGGGGAGAATACCTGGATCAAAAGGTTATTTTCACAAACAATATGTTGGAAAACCTGCATAATCAAACAACATGAATAAATTTTGTATCCCAGAAAAGTAGCAATAATAATTTTAATAATTATTATAATTATATGAAATCTTATGTCCTGTAATGTAGCTTTGTATCAACAGGATCTTCCTTTTTTTTACAGAAATTATATTTTGAAGATAACCATCATAAACATGTTACAATAACATATTTAGAATTCAGCCTTTTGATGATAACCAATGTAAACATTTTTAACAACATATTTAACAAGGCATATCTTTTATAAGGCTATGAAAATTATTTTGGTGGCTCCCATTAGTGAACAAAGATCAGAATAAATTTTCTAAGCAGCTGCTTCTTTATTTATGAACAGGAGTGTATCCAAACTTAAAGGTTTATATTTAATTATCTTTTAAGTTTTTTATTTGATCCTATAAAGCCAGGTTGTAGAAATCAACAATCTAGTTGTATTTCATGTCATTTTGATCAAAAACATAATCAGACAAACACTTTTGAACACTTAGACAAACATATAAAACAATTTAAACGAGTGCACTCAGATGGTTTTGGACAATTGAATTATAAAATCTTTTAGTTATGACTAGTCAAAACTTTTGCAGATCAAAATTAACAGAGATCTCTTAGGGTTAAAGGAATGAAAGCTCTTCTTGACTGTAAATGTAAACCTTTTATAACAAGCTTGAAACAAGGAAACATAAATAAATCATTTCCACACACCTTCTCTACATACGCAGGCCTTCATGGTCTTGTATATCTTTACCTGTTTTTAACAAGATGAACATACAAAAACCTTTCATGTCAAAAGTATAACTCTTACTTATAGCTTTCCTAATATTTTTTCTGTCTCATTTACTATTAACCTTCTATAACAAACTTCAGCTTAAAGTGTCCTTTTTCTGTTTTCAGATTGTTACATCTTAAAATTTGACTGGCTGCCAATAGAACAGTATTAACCTTGAATTTTTAGAAAAGAGTAAGTTAACCCTATAATCACACTTTAAGAATTTGTAATGCACAAGAAGTGTTACCAAAACTAAATAGTTTTTACTAGCAGCTGACTGTCACAGAGCAGTTTAATCAGCTCCTAGGCTGGGTTGTTTTGAAATCTCTTTATGGGGAATCCAAGGTCAGCTGCAGTCCAACGGACCTCCTGGAAATGACAAAATCAAGGTGAGTGGGGTAGATGAGCTTCTTTTCATCCTGTCAGAAAATTCAAACTAAGCGAGCAGACAAACAAGGAAACAAAGGAGCCAAATAAGATATAGGACCAAGGCTTATGAAAACCAAACCAAAAGTAGAACCAGAGGTCTCACAAGCAGTTTCCTCTAGATTTTGTTTTCCTACCTTACTCCAAGTATCTAAGTTTACAGTGCTTTCTTCAGGGAACCAAGGACAAACCATTTCAACAAATTCTAAAAAATTACACAATTGCTGGTGCCCTACTCTAGCACCACCAACATGCAATAAATCTTTGAGCATATGTACAAAAACCATGCAACTATTGCCAGCTCCCATTTTTAATATTTACAAGAAAAGTTCACCGCTCCTTACCTTTTCATTGAGGCCTCGTTCTCCTCTGTGGTGTCCTTCACTGGATCCCTCGATACTCAGGTTGCTGTTCGGGTGCCACTTGTGGTGGTCCAGCCATCACATCATGAACATGCCTGAGTTGGGGAGTGAGGATTGAGAAAGGAAAGAACACTCAAGCCTAAGCGAGATCAAGAGAAGTCTGATTTATTTCACAGAAACAGCTCCTTTTAAAGGCACCTCAACAGGAAGCACCTGACTCCTACAGATAACGTCAGATCTTTAACAGGAAGCACCTGACTCCTACAGATAACATCAGATCTTCGGCTATCTCTTCAGGTTTCTCCCATGCAGGGTCAAAAACAAGTTTAACACGTGCAGTCCTTAAAAAGGAACAAATGTTAACAAATGCTAATTAGGAACATCCTGACCACACATTGTGTCAATGCCTTGATTATAAAGAAAGAAGTTATCTTTCAAAAAGCCAGTGGGCCATGACTGGATCCCACACATGACAGTGCAATTAAAACACAGAAAAAAGGACTTCAGAGCTGCTCCAGAAAGTGGCAAGAACAGTGGGATGAGTGAAGTGAGAGGAAGGGCTCTGAAGGTGATTCATAGCAACATGCCTTTACTGTAACAACTTTCCCATCATACCTCATGTGCACTGGCACAGGAACGCAGCAGCTGGGATCAGAGTTAGACTACGAGGACATGATCTGGAACACCAGAACACTGGTCACGCACACTGACTAAGAAAATGGTCATTAGGAAAGCAGTTCCTCTGACAATAGCCTCAAAAATAATAAGATAAGGGCAATGTAAATAGGGAACTAAAAGGCTGTATGCGGGAAACTATAAATCATTGATGAGAGAAATTAAAGAAGATGTAAATGTAAAGATATTCCATGGTCATCAACTGGAAAAGTTACTATTATTAAACTGTCCATGCTACCTAAGAAATGTACAAATTCAATCTCTTTCCAAATCCCAATGTTGTGTTAATCTCCAAAATGTGAAAGAAACTTCTACTGTAAGAGCCTGACTGAACCAGAGCGACTCCGTGGTGACCAGCAAATGACCTAGAGACTGTCGCTCCCCTCATCCCTTATAGGATAACTAATGATTAATTGTGTGTTGTTAAGGGTTGTAATTGTTTTGAAGTAGCTGGAAGGCTGGATGGAGACTATAGTGAACACAGAGACTCAACATGGATTGCGCCACTCCTTGCATGCCTGTAGTCTGAATGTTCTGAACATTATAATCTAAGTTGTAAATGGAACAGCGGATGAGCAATCTGCTAATCATTAGTACATGACGGTCAAGTATGTGCCTGATAACCATTAGGTCAGAACAACCGCTTCTTTGCCTTTGTCCTCTTCCCGTAAGTTTTATATGTAAACCCCCCCTTCAGCCCTATATAAAGTGGCCTCTGTTTCTGAGCTAGCCGCCTCTCTGAGCCACTTGGCTTGGGGAGTGCCGTCTGGCCAGACTAATAAAGGTCTATTAGCCAACTTGCCTGGTGTGTTCCTTCCTGGGTGACTCTCGCTATCGGACAAGCTCCTGGAGCCTCGCTGAGCTACTGAGCCCAGCATCGTGAAGGCCTCTTGGCTGTTCACGCTCCAGGAGTAAAGGTGAGACACAAGTCTTACACTACAACTTAATAGCAAATATCCTAATAACTTGATTGAAAAATAGAAAAAGGACACAGCCAACAATTAAATGAAGAAATACTCAACATCGCTAAGCACTAGGAAAAAGCAAGTTGAAACCACAATGACATGCCAGCTCATACTTGTTAGGACGGCTAGTTTTTAAAAAGACAATAAGGGTCGGGGACATAGCTCAGCAGCACAGCACCTGCCTGCAAGTGTGAGGTCCTGAGTTCAATCCCTGGTACAAAAAAAATACAAGTGCTGATGAAGATGTGAAGAAAATGGAAATCTTGAGCAATTTTGGAAAGAACATAAAAAGATGTGTCTGCTATGGAAAAGTCTGGAAATTCCTCAAAAAATTAGAGATAAAATTGCCATAAAATCCAGTAACCCCAGTCCTGAATATTCACCAAAAGAAGTGACATAAAGTCTTTAAGGAGCTAGCTTTCTTCTATCCATGGCAGCCTAGACACAATGGCCAAGATGTGGAAACAGCCTACATGTCCGTTAGTGGATAATGGATTTTAAAAGGTACCTAAAAACATACCTATACAAGGTGTGGCCTAAAATATATTAAATGTTTAAAATTTTAAAAGTTTACTGCAGTAAAAGATAGTGTCATTAATCGCACTCAAAACACCCCACTCTCTCCAAACTTACCTGTCCTTCTCACCACTTTTTGAAGCAGCTCTGGAGTCTACTTCATGAGTGTTTCCAGCTGTGCTGCCGTGGCTGCCTCCAAGTCCTGAGTCAATCCAGAATGTTTCCCTTTCGTGGTGATTTTGACCTTGGGGAAGAGCTAGAGGTCACACGGTGCCAGATCTGGTGAATAGGGTAGATAAGGACGCACTGACAGAAACTGCCTTAAGTGTTTGATCAGGAGAGGAGGGGTGTTCAAAAAGTACAAGAATGTTTGAATTTTTTATTACAGTAAAAGGTAGAATGAAATATTATTCTGCTTTAAAATAAGAAGAAATTCTACAATATGCAATAACAGGGACCGACTTTGAGAACATTATGCTAAGTTAAATAAGCCAGTCACAAAATGACAAATTTTTGTTCTCATCCGTTTTCTCATCCATTCTGAGTCACTGCACTACATGAGATATTGAAATAGTCAAACTCATAGAAGCAGAGAATAGAATAGTGGTTGCCAGGGAATGGAGGGAAAGGAAAACTGAGTTGCTAATTAAAATTTTCATTAAGAAAAATAAATAAATTCTAGAGTTCTATGGCATTGTGTTTATAGATAACGTTGAATTGTACACTTAACTGTTGTGTCCTTCCCACAATTTAAAAAAACAAAACAAAACAGGAAGATTGAAGGAGTTCACAGTATCTTAGTCTACTTCAGCTGCTCTAACAGAACACCATAGAATCAAAATTCTCAGAGTTCTGAGTCTGGGAATTCCAAGATCAAGGAGTTGACACATCCCACATTCTCTGGCTCCTTCCTCACCACACCAACCTCCTGGTGTCTTGGTTACTTTCCTCGTCACTGGGACAAAACACCCAACATCCACAATTTAGAGGCAGAGGGGCTTTTCTGGCTCCCATTTCTGCTGTTCTGGTCCTTGTCTCCAGTGGCATGGTGGAAGGGCCTGGGCAGAGGAATGCTGCTCACATCACGGCAGCCGGGACACAGAGAGGGAAAGGAGGAGCCAGGGAGGGAGACACACAACCAGGGCATGGACCAGCGTGGCTGCCCCTTCTAGCCAGGCTCGTCTCAAACCCCACAGTTAGCCACTGCCGAGATCCAGTCACCTTCCAAAGCTCTGCCCACGAGCACACTGGCCCTTGGGAGCCATCTAGACACAAACCTTGCCGCTGATCACGGTCAGCTTCTCACTGAGAGGGAGCCCAATGGAGCTTGACTTTTGCAAAGCACCAATTTCATTCATCAGGGCTCTACTCTTGTGACCTAAAAGCTTCCCCACCAAATACCATCATGTTGGAGGGTAGGTTTCAAAGTATGAAATGGAGGAGAACATAAATATATAGTCTATAGCAGGATGTAAGATTACAAGGCCAGATTTGGATGAGAACAAAAATTGTTTTAGAAGGGGAGTAACAATAAGTACCACAACTACCAGTCAGCAAAATAGGTCTAGCAAGGGGTCCCAGCCTCCACAGGACGACATGGATGCCATGACATCACCGACACTACTCATGCTGATGAATAATGCCAGAATTGGTGTAAATAATTTCTTGCCATTCTTCACTTACTCTTCTGGCAGTGCTTGGTGATGGAATCTGCAAAATGTCCACTGTCCTTTAGAAGAGGACATTAACAGAGGGGAGCTGTCCTCTATAGCTTCTAAGCTTACAGAGGGGACCACCTACTGCCCCCAAAGGACAAGACAGTCGCGGGGCAGTAGCATGTGTTCAATTTTGGACTGCTGAGCCGGAAGCACCCACACTGTGCTGCCAAGCAGGCAGCTGTGTGTGTGGGTTTGGAGGATGGCCCCGGAGAGGCTCTGGGAAGCAGGTGCCCTGAGTACCAACCCCAAGGGAGGATGCCCATCACTCAGAGAGCAGACAACAGCCTAGAAAAGGAGCCCAGGCATTTCAGCCTGATGCAGCTTGGGCTACACTTTACACCTCCCAGAATCCACTGAGACAAGCCACACACACACACACACACACACACACACACACACACACACACACACACACACACACCCCAGATAGGCTTACTACTTACAGATGCACACGAAGGACAACAGAATCCTAAGACTGATGAGGAGCCAATCCCTCATGGGCCAGGTAATCTACTGCAAGTGGAGAAAGTCTCATCTTTCCATGGAGGGACCCTGAAAGCTCTCCACTCTGGGTTTTATACCCTAGAAGTCATTCCTGGGTCCAGGAAGGGATTTGTGGACTAAAGAGTGGCAGGCAGAGATGAGCTGCTTCAGGCAAGTCTGCCCCATGTTGGGGTGCTGCATTTCCAGGTCATGCCTCCATTACTCTGAGAACTATGGGCAAGAAGAGGGAGGAAAACCCTGATAACCAGCTCTGTTTCCTGACCACCATGAAGAGAGCATCTTGGCTTTCTCGGGCCCTTCAACATGATCTTCCTGCCTTAGCCAGTTGACCAGGGACTGATATCTCTGAATCTGTGAGCCAAATTGAACCTCTCTCCTCTTGTAAATTGTGGTTGTCAGCAATGGACAAGCTACCAGTTAAGCACTTTGTTGAGCCCCTGTTGTGATGACATCAAAGTCTTTTAATTAGAGCTATACTTAAAGCCGGCTTGCACAATCGAGGGAATAAAAGAATATAGGGAATAAGGCAAACTGGAAACAGTTAGGATGTAACTCAAAAATCTTCCCCTCAGTTCTTTTATAATTAGAGAAAGACTGAGATTGGGAGGGAATGGAAGGCTCTAAAATCTCCAGGCTATGGTAGACATAAACCCAACACCCAGAATTTCATACACAGATGCAAATGAAGATGTACCTACGTTATCAGAGAACCACTGAACTGAAAGTAAAGTGAGTTTTATCACAGATTTTCACAGCATGAATACTGTGAAAATCGGCACCTGAAACTTTAATACTTTCATGATTCAAAAACTCAACAAAATGGCATTTATGCCTAAATTTTTCCACTTATTTTTTAAAACATTCTTGGTCCAAAAGAAAGAAGTATAGCCACATAATAGCTGATAAGCTTAAATTCTGTTCTTGTACAATTAATTGGCTAGGAGAATTCATACTTTAAAGGATTATTCTTGTTCAGTCTACGATCCCAGTGTATTCACAATAAACAAAACATTTAAAAACACTAAACCCAGGAAGATGACTTGAACGATGTGGTGCAAGAGATTTACTTTTTCCCTAGCATCCTTTCTTTTGGAGGGTGCTTGTCTTTTATATTAAAATTTCTAGGATATTTGAAGCAGGACTGTGATAACTCCAGCAAAACCAATCAAAATATCTCCCAATCACCACAGGTTCCATTTTTTAGCACTAGGAGGAAGTGAGATGTACTCTTTTTCTGGAAAAAAAGATGTGCAAGATGAAGTAGATCTTTGGAGCCGAACAATAACCATTCTCTTCCCTTTCTGTGGAGACAGAATCCTGAGGACATCATCCTGACCCTAACCTGAAAGCTCTAACTACTCCCATTTAAATTTCCACATATGGAGTTTTTTTTTTAATGTTTTCCACTTAAGCTGGTCTCAGTTGATTTTCCGTTGTTTACACAAAGTCCTGACCTTCCCACAGTACTAGCACGTAATTATTTCATAATCATCCAGCATCAGCAATGCATTATTCAAGGCACTGGACAATATAAAATATATGTTTAGCATCACAATTCCTTCCACGTAGGAACTCACCACTGGAATTAGGTCATGAAAATGGGAGAGAGATTCATTTGCCAGGAAGAAGGTGAGGTAAATAGATAAGAACATTGAACTCTTTGAAATACTTTTGCTCAGCTTTGTCCTTATGCTTTCAGAACTTTTCTAGGTTACATCAAGCCCAAGAAGGTAGAATAATGTCCATCCACAGGAGGCTGACTAAATTGTGTACACTTCAAAAGGTGGAGTACTAATGGCAGTAGAAAAATTAAGCCAGAGCTTTACACAGGCAGCTCAATGACTCTCAAAAACACATTGTTGAATGGCAGAGTAGTTTCAGAGTAGAATAAAACATAACAATGTACCATTAAAAACACACATAAGAATTGAGGAAATGACAAAAGTGATACTCAGAATTCTGATCTCCCTTAGTAGGAAGGAGGGGACCATGAATCGAGAGGGGCATACAGAGCTGCTCAAAGGTGATTAACACTTAGTGCTTTACCTGGGCTGGGTGAGCACTCGTGTAGGTTAGTTTCCTATTCCTATACCTCTCTCTCTGGCCCCTGCCTCCTATCATAAAGACCCGAGGGCTCACACAGTCCAGCATATGACCAAGAACAGCCTCCTTATCTCAGCGTCCTTATTAACCCTATGTGCCAAGTTCCTTCTGCTGTGTGAGTTAAGGGAGTCACAGGTTCCAGGATTTGGGACGTGTAGATCCCGGAGCCAGGATATCTTCCAGTACACCAGCACTCACTTCATGCTGTATGCCTTAGCTGTATTATATATACTCTATATACTCGTGGCAGATAATCAGCCATTCCCCCTTCGGCCTCAGCACCCTCATTAACCAAAAACCCACACTCCTTCACCGGGGGCTACGAGTGTCCATGGTGGGCAGATAGAGGAGCTCCAGAGCTGCTTAACTGCACTCTCTCTCCACAGGTGCTGTCCAGTAAACTCCCTGAGCACCAGTCTACTGCAGAGTGGGTTGCCTGACCTGAGGAGACACTCCTTTACAAATATAGAATATTTCATTCTTTAAACTATAAGACCATTCACCACACTTCTTAAGAAGTAAAATTCATCCACCCCCCAAAAAAGATGAAATAAAAACTAGAAGCCCAAAATACTTGGTTTAAGGAATTAGCAGTGGATTTTGAAAGGATTAGTGTAATCCAACATTTCAAAGCAATTTTCAGTAAGAATTAGCAACTGAATCATTCAGGGAGGTCAGGGTTAGCACTGTCAATCTTGACTTTTGGGTTTAGTTCTGTCTGCTTTTGAACTTCTTTGAGTTGCTGTTTGATTGTCTAGGCCTAAAATCTTATAACGCAGTCACAAGAAATACTATTCATAACAAATAGAAAATCAGAGAAATGAGAATCAAACAACTCGATTTTAGAAAAATGCTGAACCATTTTTCTTTTTAGCTATCAGGTGCTCAAGTGGTTCCCATGCTCTGGAAAAAGGCAAGA